AAAAAAAAATTATGGGCCCAACCACCTTTGCACAGGCCTTCATCGGCTCAGCCAGGGCCCTTTCAACCCTGCCAACAGCACCTGTCCCAGCCCTACTTCTGGGTCTTTCTTTTTTTTTTTTAAGTAGGCCCCACGCCCAGCATGGAGCCCAAGAGGGGGCTTGAACTCACAACCCTGAGATCAAGACCCGAGCTGAGATCAAGAGTCAGATGCTTAACAGACTGAGCCACCCAGGAGCCCCTTGGGTTTTTCAACCACACAGCTGCAGGTGCCAGTGAGGCGGGGCTCTCCCGTTGGGGCAAAAGTGGCCCTGGTCCTGTCCACCCTCAACTCCTGCCTAGACCACCAGACAGCCTCCTCACTGTCTCCCTGCCCCCCCGCCCCCCCTCCCAGCAGGAAGGAGCCTGGGAACACCTGAGTCAGATTAGGCGCTCCTTTGCTCAGAACCTTCTCATGGTTCCATCTCACTCAGAGCGGGGGCCGAGTCCTCGATCCGCCTGGGGTCACCTCCCTGCCCTGTCTCCTCCCACTGTGCCCTCACTCATGGCTCCTCACACACAGCAGCCTCTGTCCTACTTCAGGACCATTGCGCTCTTTGTGCTAGCTTCTCCTGTGACCTGGGGTGCTTTCCCCCAGTCTCCTCAGTCATCCCTTTTCATCACTCAGGTCTCTGCTCAAGCCTCTTCAGAGACATTCCCCAACCATCCCGTAACACCTTCTTTTCTAATATATAAAATATTTTATTTTCTTCTTTGCACTGATTACTCTTCAGAAATTATTTTATGTATTTACTTGCTGACTGCTTCCCTGGTGGCCTGAATCCATAAGAAAAACCTGCCCTGCTGAGCAGGAAGCCTGATGTGGGGCTCCATCCCAGGATCAGAAGATCATGACCTGAGCCAAAGCCATGCTGTTAATCATTATATCCCCCATGTTGTAAAAAAAAAGGGGGGGGGGATCTGACTCATTGTAGGTGTTGAATGGCCAGATAAAGGTATTATTATCACACTTTTACAGATAAGGAGAGAAGGTTCATGGGGTAAAACTCTCTGTTCAGGGTCATACTCTACAAACTTGTTGTTAGCATTCACTTGAGCTCTTTCTATGAACCAGACACTTGCTAAGTGCTTCACACATATTTAATAATTTTGTGAAGCGGGTATGATCACTATTGAATCCTTGACAAGGATGAGGAAACTTTGATACAGAGACGTTAAGTAATTTTCCAGAGATCACACAGTTATTATGTAGCAGAGCTGGGATTTGAACCCAGACAGCCTAGCTTCAGAGCCCAAACTATCTACTATCATGCCACACTTCCTCCAAGTAAATGTTAGTCAATGGCAGATTCAAACCCAGGTCTGCTGCCTCCAGAACTTCAGTTCTAGACTACAACATTCTACTGTCCTCAAAAGCTTACTTGAGCCAAAACAATCTTGGAAAAGAACAACAAAGTTGGAGGACTCAAACTTCCTGATCTGAAAACTTACTACAAACCCACAGGAATCAAGACTATGTGATACTGGCATATGGGCAAACATATAGAGCAATGGAATGGAATTATACCCAGAAATAAACCTTTACAGTTATGGTCAATTGATTTTTGTTGCTGTTGTTGTTGTTGTTAAGATTTTATTTATTTATTTATTTGAGAGAGAGAGAATGAGCAGCGAGGAGGGGCAGAGGGAAAGAGAGAGAAGCAGACTCCCTGCTGAGTAGGAAGCCTGATGTGGCTCGATCCCAGGACCTGAAGATCATGACCTGAGCCAAAGGCAGATGCTTAACCGACTGAGCCACCCAGGAGACCTGGTCAATTGATTTCTGACAAGAGTGCCAAGACAATTCATTTATACACATGGTAATGGGATAACAGGATATTCACATGCAAAGTTGGACCCCTACCTCACACCATACACACAAAAAATAACTCAAAATGGATCAAAGACCTAAACATAAGAGCTAAAACTAAAAAACTCTTAGAAGAAAACATGGAAGTCAAGCTGCATGACCTAGGCACGGCCTTCTTAGACAACACCAAAAGCACAAGCAACAAAAGAAAAAAACTGATGAATTGGACTTCATCAATGTTAAAAACATTGGTGCTATTTCATGGTCTGTGAATTACACTTCAATAAACATAAAACCTTTGTGCTTTAAAGGACACCATCAAGAAAAGGAAAAGACAACCCATAGAATGTGACAAAATATTTACAAATCATACATCTGATAAGCAACTAGTATCCAGAATATATAAGGAAATTTTACAACACAACAATAAAAAGACAACCCAATTTGGCAAAGGATTTGGATAGATATTTCTCCAAAGAAGATAGATAAGTTAAGAGTGAGCATATGTTCAGGGCACCTGGGTGGCTCAGTTGGTTAAGCGACTGCCTTCGGCTCAGCTCATGATCCTGGAGTCCCGGGAACGGGTCCCGCATCAGGCTCCCTGCTCAGCGGGGAGTCTGCTTCTCTCTCTGACCACCCCCCCTCATGTGCTCTCTCTCTCTCTCTCTCATTCTCACTCTCTCAAATAAATAAATAAAATCTTAAAAAAAAAAAAAGAGTGAGCATATATGTTCAACATCAGGAGTCATGAGGGAAATGTAACTCAAAACCACAATGAGATACCACTTTACACCCACATCTTTTGGCTATAACCAAAAGATGAACAAGTGTTGGTGAAGATACAGAGAAACTGGTACTATCCCTTATACATCGCTGATGGGAATGGAAAATGATCCAACTGCTTTGGAGAGCAATCAGGCAGTTCCTCGGAAGTGAAAAAGAGTTAACATTAAGACCCAGCAATTCCATTTGTAGGCATTTACCTAAGAGAACTGAAAACATATGTCCACAGAAAAACTTGTACACACGTTTATAACAGCATTGTTCATAAAAGCCACCCCCACAAAATGGAAATAACCCAAATGTCCATCAATTAATGAATGGATAAATGAAATGTAGCACATCCTTACAATTAAATATTATTCAGTCATTAAAAGGGAAACACTCAGGGCGCCTGGGTGACTCAGTCGTTAAGCACCTGCCTTTGGCTCTGGTCATGATCCCAGGGTCCTGGGATCGAGCCCCGCATCGGGCTCTCCGCTCAGCGGGGAGCCTGCTCCTCCCTCTCCCACTCCCCCTGCTTGTGTTCCTGTTCTCGCTATCTCTCTGTCAAATAAATAAAATCTTAAAAAAAATAAATAAATAAATAAATGGGAAACACTGATACATGCTACATCTTAGGCGAGCCTTGAAAATGTGTTGAGCGAAAGAAGGCAGGCACAAAAGGCGTTACCTCTTGTACAACTCCATTTATATGAAATGTCCAGAGTAAGTAAATTCATAGGAACAGAAAGTAGATCTGTAGTCTCCAGAGGCTGAAGGATGGGGGTCCTGGGTTTCTTTATAGGGTGATGAATGTGGTCTGTAATTAGTGGTAATGGTTGCACGACTTTGTTAATATACTAAAAACTATTAAACTGTACACTTTAAATGGAGAATTTTATGATATGTGAGTTACATCTCAATCTTTTAAAAATATTTATCTTTTTAGAGAGAAAGAGAGAGGGGGGAAGGGGAGGAAGAGAGGGAGAGGGAAAGAGAGCCCCAATCCCACTCTGCCCTGAGAGTGGAGCAGAGGCGGGGCTCACGTACCAAGCCAAAACCAAGAGTCAGACGCTCAACCTACTGCGCCACCCAGGCACCCCATCTCAATTTTTTTAATGGCAAAAAAAAGCTTACTTGAGCACCTACTATGTGCCTGGTGGGATACTGGGAATCCTCTTGAATCCTTAGGGTCCCCAAGGTCTGGTGGTGCCACCACTATTAAAATGTTAGAGATTGGGGAAGCTGAGGGCCACACAGAATGAGCTCACCCCCGCTGCACTCACTCACCTCTCCATTGCAGGAGTAGTTGATCTTCAGGTAGTATGGGAAGCTCAGGTATTTCTGCAAGAAAAGGTTGGGCAAATGTCCAGAGCCCAGTGGGGTGCAGATCTGTGACCTCTCCCATTCACCTGACCCCAGTCCCCTCACCTCGCCCTGGTCGGTGGGTACATCCACCAGCGGGCTGAACACACTGTCCACTGTCTCCAGGGGCTCTTGATCGAAGAAGCGGTCGCTCATGCCATTCTTGCCTACCGTCTCGAACTTGTTCAGGACAACCTGCCAGGTGCACTCCTGGACGTCCTGCATCGCCCACAGCCTCCACGATGCCAACAGCACCGCCAGCACTGCCCACAGCGCCCGCAGGATTCGGAGTTTCGGCCACGCAGGGCCAGCAGGGTACATCGCGGGGGGCAGCGTGCAACGTGACTCGAACCTGGAGAGGGGGTCAACGCCTGCCAGCCAGACTGCGCCTGAGGGCCACCTTCCGAGATCCTACCGAGTTCCTGCGCTTCGCCCAGCCCCTGCTCCTGGCCCCACCTCTACTCAGACTTCTGGCCCCACCCTTACTCTTACTCTTGCTCCTGGCCTCGCCCCTGCACTTGCTGGCCCCGCCCCCGCTCTTGCTCCTGGCCCCGCCCCTGCTCTTGCTCCTGGTTCCGCTTCTGCTCCAGATTTCGCCCTTGACCCAGACGCTGCACCTGCTCCTATTCTGGATCCCACCTCTATTTTTACTCCAGGTCCCTCCTCTATTCTTGCTCCTGGACACGCCCCTGCTCCTAGCTTCACCCCGCCTCCTCGCCTCACCCCTTAACCTTGCCCCATACTTGTTCTTTGCTCCGCCTCTGCTCTGCATCCCGCCCCTACTCTTCACCGGGTCTCCGCTTCTGTTTCTGGCTTTGGCTGTGCCGCATCTATTTTCCCCAGTCCTGCTACTCTCTCTGGTCGTGCACTTGCACTTGCACCTGCACCTGGCTCCGCCCCCACCTCTTGCCCCGTCCCCCCACTTCTCTTCGCATCTCCCCTTTCTCCTGACACGGGCCCTACCCTGGTACCGGGTCCTGTATCTAGCGTCTCCCTTCTCCGGTTCCTGGGCCCAGACTTTCTCCACGCCCCGCCCCTTTCCCTGTCCCCGCCCCTGTTTCTCGCCTGGAGCTTGCTCCTGGGTCGGCTTCCCTTCCTTGCCCCGCCCCCGTTCCTGTAGCTGTCCTTGTTCTTCGACCCGCCCCTTATCGATCCGCCTTTTCCCCGGGTCTTTGGAGAGCGGTTCTTCTTGAGCCTGCCCCTCACCCCGCCCCCTCGTAGAACCACGCCCATTCTCCTTAGATACCCTCTCTCTGCCTCGGAATCTCTCCCCACCACTGGCCTTCCCTTCGCTCCGCGCCTTCTCCTCTCCCTGCCCCTTTTTCTCGTTCCACGCGGGTGCTATCTTGTCGGTCAGCGCCTTCTCGGTCCTCATCTTTCCCCCGCACCGCGACACCTTTTGGTCCCACTCTCCCTTTCCACGAGCTTTTTCCATACCCCGGACAGCTACCGGCTCCACGTCCCGCCTCTTACAGCCCCGCCCCTACTCATCTCCTCGCTTCTTCTCTTAGCCTCTACTTGCTCGTCGCCCCGCCCTTTCTCCGCCCCTCCCCTCCTTTGCTCGGTTCCTCCACTCCCCTCCCTCTCTCCTGCCTCTCCCCTTCTCGCCTTCCCCTCCTCCCTCCCCTTCTCTCCGCCCCCCGCCCCCCGCATCCCTCCCTGGGGTGGCCCCAGGCACCTCCCTCTTCTCCCCCGCCCCGCGGTACCAGTCACTTAGTTGAAACGGGCCAACCGTCGCTTGGCCGCTGCGGTCCCGCCCCTCTTGCCCGGTTTCAAAATGGCCGCCCACACTTCCACAACCGATTTCCGCCGTTCCCGAGCTCTGTCCGCCGCGCGCGCCTGTCTCCACGGTAACGATCGTCCCAAACGGCGCCTGCGACTTGGCGGCGTGGTGAAAGCGGTGCTGGACACCCTGGCGCCCGGGCCTGTAGGGCTGAGGGTGCTGGAGACAAGAGTTTGTGATGGGAGGGTCTTCAGGGAGTTCCTACCGGTTGTTCTGGAAGCCCTCGCTCGTCCTCTGCCGCATCAGGCTTTTATATTAAAAAAAAAATCTCTTAAAAAACGTTTGGTCTCTTTGTGGGAATTAACCTGACTGCGGCTTAACACCCTGCTCTACACAACAGGGGCACAAGCAACCATCTCATAGAGTTGTGGGGAGCCTATAAGATAACACGTGAAGAATGCCTGGCGGAAATACTCAATAGGGTAATAATTTTCATTTGTATTCTGATGCCTCACAGTTAAGGATTCAGACCTTGGCTTTTGGATGAACTGCAAAGCTGACTTTAGCCTAAATCCGTGATTTTCATACTTTAGCGTGCATCAGACTCACCGGAAGAGCTTGTTAAACACGTTGTCGGGCTCCACCTGCCAGAGTTTGATTCAGTAGCTCTGAGGTGGGGCTGGAGAAGTTGTATTTCTGGCAAGTTTTCAGGTGACGGTCTGGGGACCACACCTTGAGAACCAGTGCGCTAAAACAAGCCCTCTGTGTAGCCCCCAGGACCTCAGGGAAATATCCAGTTGGTTCCCAGAGTCCTGCCTAATCTCATCCTGGTGTCATTCCTATCCAGCTCATCTCCTTTCTCCCTATAGACCTGTGTAGTCTACAGCCCAGTCTCGCGGAGGGACTTGAATATCCTTGATCAGGCTTGTTCTCCCTCTCCTCCAGACTGTGTCCATGTAGTAACACCCTTTGGAACACTACTCCCTACTTCGTCACTGGCTGACCACTTTCCTTACCTGGGGTCTTGTCTGTAAGATATGACCAGTCCCATCCCTCCCCTGAACACACTAGACTGTGACTGCTTCCCACTGAATCACAGGCTCCATGAGGGCAAGGCCTAGAGCTTTCTCCATCACTGTTCCCAACTCTGTCCAACACAGCACAGAGTAGATATTCTATGTAAATGAGTTGATGGAAGTCTATGGCCCCCGCCCCTCCCCCCAAGCCCGGTCCAGCCCCACAGGCCATGGAGGAGTGACTTCATCTGAGGGAAGAAACTCACCGGCTATGTACCTGAGCCCTTCTAGACTCAAGAACAGAGTCAGAGAGACTTCGGTGTCCTCATGGCACCCCCCCCCCAGGAATTCAGCCTACAGGGAGCGGGGAGGCAGGGGGTTCCTCGGTTAGATCTTGATGTTCAAGGCGCACCCTGCAGCAGCATTTACGCCAGCAAAAGATTGGCAACCACCCACGTGCCCATTAGTGAGACGCTGAAATAATTTATGGGATGTGCGTCCCAGAAGAGGCATGGCAGACATAAAAAGGATATGAGACCTACTTGTGAGTCTCTGGAATGATCTCCTAATTATACTGGGTGGTGATAAAAGCAAGGTGCAGAAATGAGAATAGTACTAGAAAAAGTATATAAAAATTGTATATCTAGGGGCGCCTGGGTGGCTCAGTCGGTTAAGTGTCTGTCTTTGGCTCAGGTCATGATCCCGGGGTCCTGGGACATGGGCTCCCTGCTCAGCTGGGAGTCTGCTTCTCCCTCTCCCTCTGACCCTCCCCCAGCTCATGCTCCCGCACTCTCTCTCCCTCAAATGAATAAAAAAATATTTTTTAAAAGTTGTATATCTACATATATCTTATATAATATTAAAAAAGCAAGGTACAGAAATGAGGATAATAATCATCAGTCAACAATTTATTGAGTACCAGACATTGCTCTAAGAGTTTTACAGATATTAAGTTGCTAAATTCTCGAACAAGTCCATGAGGTAGGTGCTGTTATCATCCCATTTTACAGATTAGCAAACTCAGGCACAGGCAGGTGAAGTCACTGCCCAAAGCCACAGAGCTTGGGAGTGACAGAGTTCAGACTTATACCCAGGGACTTGGCCTCTAGAGTCTGTGATTGTAACCACCTTGCCATACTTGATAGCACTCGAGTAGAGTGAAGGAAAAAAATAAATGACACAAATATGCACACACATATTGCTGATAGTTGCCCAGAAGACCCGAGAAATCAGTCATCACAGCCTGAGTGCTGGAGAAAGACTGACTTTCCACTGTACACTCTTCTGTACCTTTTGAATTTTTAGCCTTCACTTCCCCCCCCTCCCATGTCTTGAATTAAACAGGATTTGGTTTCTTTTTCCAGAAGAATCTGGAAGGAGCAGTGAGGAGCAGAAGCCAGATTACATAGATACCTCCTACAAGGTGAGAAGCGACCGTCTCCCCCAGCCAGCTCCTGACTTGAGCAGCGAGGTCGACCATGAGGAGCCAGGAAGGCTGGGAGGCTAACAAAGAGCTAGACAGCAGTTTCTGAGCTTCTGTGGGACAAGGTGACCAAACAAAACTTTGCTCAGATCTCAGATCTCAGTTCTGCACCTCCTCTGTGACCTTCGGCAAGTTATTTAACCTCTCTGGGCCTTTCCTCAACTGTAAACTATAGAAAATGTACTTAATAGAGTTGCTGAGAAGGTTAAATAAGTTACATAACGAGAGCTTGGAACAGTGCCTGGCACATAGTAAATCCTATGTAAGTGTTTTCTTATCACTGTTATTAAAACAATGTTGTGTGACTTTTTGGCACGATTTGACAATGGTGAATTCTCCTTGAAATTCTCTCATCTCTTACCGATTCTCCCTACCCTCTTGGTTTTCCTACTCCTCTTTGGAACTCCTTTTCTGTCTCCTTTGTAAGCTCTTCTCTCTGGTATGAGGACACTGGTTGAAAGGTCACTGCTTGCCACATGGAGCCTTTATGTTAACTAGAAAAAGAAGCCCCTTTGGGTCATTTTCAGCCTTGAACTTCAACCCTTGTTTGTTTCCACCCTTCCAGCCAGACATCCCCTATGTAGTTCCTGACCTGCACAACTACATGATGACCCTAACTGCTTAGCTAATCAATGTCTGTCCATTCTCCCTCTCCTGCCTTTCTAATAGAAGTCCAGTTTTGTTCACACATTCACCAGCCTCCAAACCAAAATCTCAGTCTCAGCTGGCAGGGGGAATTCTGAGGAATCCAAGTTAATCATGATGGCTCCATCACTCTGGCCAAGGATTGGTTCAGGATGGACATGTGAGCCAATTTTGGCCAATGAGATGGAGGAGGAAGGAAGGGGAAAGATTTCTTTGCTTCCAAAGAGACAATATGGGAAGAGATGCCCCCCTCCTTCTTGCACTAAAAATGATCATGTCTGGTTGTGATGCCTGGTCCTGTGGCAGTCACTTTGGGGCCATGAGGGAGCCCATGTGGAGCCAAGCCTTCAGCTGAAGGTGGCAGAATAAAGAGATTGGGGACCTCAGGCCACAAGACCCTGGAGCTGTGGATTCTCTTGCCCAGAACTCTCCCCAACTTGGGTGATGGGCAATATACAATCATATTGTTTCAGCCAGCACCACTCAGGATCTTGTTACTTGCAGCCCAAATCTTTCCTTATTATTTTTTTAATGTTTCATGTTTTTATTTAAATTTGAGTCAGTTAACATATAGTTAATATTAGTTTCAGGAGTAAATTTAGTGATTCATCACTTCCATATAACACCCAGTGCTCATCACAAGTGTGTCCTTACTGTATAGATATATAAATACCCTAAAGCTGACTTCTCAACAATGAATTATGGAACACTACATCAAAAACCAATGATGTAGGGCGACTGGGTGGCTCAGTTGGTTAAGCGACTGCCTTCGGCTCAGGTCATGATCC